GGGGAAGCACTTTCCCCCATCATCCCGAAGCCCCGCCGATCAGCTGCGCGAAAATGGGGTGTATGGGGAACATCGCAATGCGATCACAAAAGCGATCGCAAAATCTTCATCGCTATGTGGATTCGTCGTTAAACGGGGGCCCCGCTAAGCGAGGCACCACTGTACATTTAACTCAAGTGGCACTAATGTGTTAACATGTTTTTTAGTTAGCAAACCAACAAACTCAAAGGTAAGGCACCTTATTTTTCATAAGGCATTTTGTTTATTACTTCGTACATTTTATTCTCCCTTTTGATTTAAAAGTCAGCCAATTTATCATCTTAGAAGGGTTCCCATTTTTAGTTTCATGAAGCAGTAAATGGATAGATTTACTGTTGCCTGTAGGAGATAAGCAGTGCTATCCACCATCTGATCATCCATGCTTGCTGAAATTTTTTAAAGACCAGTTTTAACCATGTGAAAGCACTCAATTTCTTTTCAAGCAAGAGTAAAGAAGCTCATCAAAGATTTCATCCCAGAGCTAAAGGAAATAAATTATAATTCAAAATAAGCTTTAGGGGGCTGTGTTCAGTATGCTGGTAACTGTTCTTTCGCTATTGCATAACAGCACATTAGAAAAGGAAAGAGAAAATACTTACCATGATGTAGGCATTTCTGTTGATAAATTTAAGGAATTTCTCCAAGCACCAAAAACAGCATTTGAGGCAGCAAAGAAGGAATTTCGCAAAGGCATTCTGTGAGCCTGCTCACCCCGCAAGAAAAAAACATTTTTTTTAAAAGAATGGTGAGAAAACATTAAAATACTGTCTTCTACTCATGTGCTGTTAGATTTTCTATGCATAACTGCTTTTACACAGTTTAAATGACTAACAGGCTTGTTGCTAGTTTGCAACAAACCTGTGCAATATATAGTGCTAATTTACTTGTATATTAGTCATACACCATAAAAGGGAAATGGTGTTTTTGACTACACTGTCCAGAACTCCAATGCTAAGTGCTAATAGTCCAAAAAAAGTAACTTCTCTAATTTTTGCTGCACAACAGCGTAAGAATTAACCACTGAATTTCTCCACTGGTCAGAACTTAAAATTCTGAACTAATGATGCTGCCAAGACCTCCTGTACTACACCATACCTCTGTTTAATTTTGTTTTGTTCTGTTTCCTTTTCTTTTTAAATAAAAAGTAGTTCTAAACATTTGTTTCAAATCATGCTGATTGGTATGGTCCCAATATATGGTTCCCAGATGACAGATGTGCGTGTGGGGGTGAATGCTCTGGCTGTCCGCAGAGGGCCATCCATCTTGGGCCCCCCACACATCTTGGTGGACTGTGTCAAACAGCGGGGTAGCTTCAGAAGACAGGAGTAGTGAGAGTCCAAAGGTGGATGTGCCACACCTAGAGGCTGGGGCTGAAGCAGGGGCAGGAGCCAGGTTTAAAGGGGGAGGATGAGGGTGAAGGCTCATGACCTTTGATGGACATGGAGACAGAGGAGAGGGCAAAGGCCATTAAGAAGCCCTCTCTTATTCTCTGTTGCTGCTCCTCCATGGATGGGCAAATCAGCTTTGCCCCAAGTACAGGATGTGGTGGAGGAGCCCCAGTTGTTGTCCCATTTGAGTTCTACCCAGAATGATGATACAGATGACTGGCTGAGTCCTGACCCCACCAGACCATCACAACCAAGAAGAGGTGCTAGCAGGAGAAGAGGCACAACTAGCAGATGCAGCAGACCCTCTGGGGACAGGATGAGCTACTGGAGCTTGGGAGTCTTCATTGGCCTGGTATTATCAGCCCTCTCTAACGGATGTTAGCTGGCTGGGGCTGTGCTGTGAATGGAATCTGAGCCCCGTGTGGGCACTCTCGAGGACCAGTGAGAGGAACTGAGGTCCAAATGGGGACAGTGAGCAGTGGTGGAAGGCACCACTGGGAACAGCGGGGGCAACTAAGCCCCCCTGTGGACTGCTGGGGTGGGAGGTACAAGGCACACTGTTCTACTACTCTAATAAAGATGCATTTCAGGAGGAATGAGCATCTTGAGTCCACAGATCTTATGGTCAAGACCTACCCAGTCACCCCCCACCCTGGGCAGTCACCGTGTGTTTAAGAGCAAAACATTTCTTAAATGGAAAGAGAAAACATACAATGTCATGGCCCTTACCTTTAAGTTTATGATCCAGGTATTCCAGGATTACCCGAATTAGCTGGACTATTGCAAGAATTAAGGAGCCAAATGCTAGGGACCCTGTATGGTATCTAGGAGAGAAAATGAATTGATCAGTAAAAGGAATGTTGCTAGAAAAAAGGTATGGTTCTGATAAAAATGAGTAGCATGGCTGACCGCAGTTCCTGGGTGCGCATGTATATACAAGCACTGCAAAATGCAGCCTCCTCCACGGCTATTGAGTAATCTTTGTACTGGTTTATTGATTATGCATAGAAAGTATTTTGAAAATGCTTATGTTAATTTATAACCTATCACTAAAAACTAAGGGTAAATTGGAATGTCACTTAAAATACCCAGTATAAAGCAGCAAAGTGCTTTATAACTGAGAGACTTCATAACAACTGAACACATTGAATTTTGAGAGACTGGATGAGTTCCTTAATGGGATCATAGCTCTCCCCATCCAGTATAGCCACAAGCCATGCTGAGAGAATCTAGGAGAGGTATTTTAAAATCGTGGTTTTGTTGAATTCTGCAAACTTCACAACCCTATTAACTATAAACCTCTTTGTCCCTAGCAGGTTGGATGTGTTTCTAAGAGCTGGTCCAAACGAAGCAAATAGTGGGCACGATGGAATGTCAGCAGGTTTTCTGAAGGCCCAGTAGTAAGAGGCAAAGGCACCAGCAAGGGTACACTGACCCAGTGCAATTGCAAAATTTACCAACCAGAGAAAGACAAAAACATTGAATATTTGAAAGACCAAGATGTATCTGTGGTACAAGCTTTCTCCTCCATAGAAAGCAAAAGTGCACTGGGCCCCTGGACACAGCTTGGTCACATTGGTGGTGTTGAAAGTCTGTTATTGACAAGAGAAGACATTATCAACATGAGATATATAAATACTGGTTTAATGCAGGTCTAAATTTTAAACCCATTAGCTGAATTCCTGTTGCGCAGATATACAAAAGACATAATCCTTAGACTCAAATTGTTTTAAAGTTGTTGTTTTAAAATCCTGATTCATATTATCTGTTGCATGCCAGGTCATGTGACTAAAATTGCAACAAATAATGTCTAGGGAGATTTCCCTTCACTTGGACACAAAAGAGGATTTGGGCCATTGGAAAGTATCAATGGACAGTTGATTCATGTGGCATACTCTTGAATTGCAGTGGGCAATATATGGCCTTCTAGATGTTGATGCTGGACTACAGCTGTCATTCTGTGTCACCACTGGCTATGGCAGCTAGCATGTGTAACATCTGACAGATCACAAATTTATCAATACTAGTCCTAAATAATCTTAAACACAGGCAGCCATCTCTGACAACCCATGGGCATAAGATATCGGTGCTTCAGAATGTTTCTAACAGTGCTACTAAAATGACTAGCACTGCAATCCTAGAAATGTCTACTCAGAGGTAAACCCCAGTGAGTCCAATGGGCTTATTCCCAGGTAAGTCTGCACCCTTAAAAGTTAATAACTAAAACAGATATATTTATTCATATGTGAATAATTTATTCATATTAGCGGGAACAGGGAGGCATTGCTCTAAAACTGTGGTTCCTAACCTTGGGTCCCTATATGTTCTCGGACTACAGCTCCCAGAAATCCTGGCCATCACAGCAAATGGTGATTGTCTCTGGGAGATCTAGTCCAAGAAAATCTTGGGAACCAAAGATGGAAACCAGTGGTCTAAAACAATACAGTAGGCTCTTAATGAAAAGCTAGAATTTGCAGAGAATTTTATGAGAAAAAATGATGCATGCTTACCTCTGGATAACAGGTCAGATTTGCATATTTGCACAGGCTTTGATTAGCCATAACTTTGTATACAGGTTCCCCTGATGTAGCCAGGAAGCTTGATTTAATTAGGTTAAGAAGGAAACAGAATCATAGGCTTCTTTCCAGACCTAGAGCTACAGTAAATGACATTTTGCACTAACAAAAAAACCACCCCAGATAATAAATCTAATCTTTGCCTTTTCTTCTGTAGCACTTATGCTGCAGATATGACACCATGGTCTTCATGGACTTTCTACAATCCGATTTGCAGTGTCTCCAAACATTTCACCAGGATAGTATAATATTGCCACTCTTTTGTTTAATAACAATGTCAGCCAAGGGGGTAACCTCTGAGAAAGCACAAAAGAGGGAACAGTATGATTTAGTGACCTCATATATGGACACCAAGGAAAATGTACCGAACAAATACGAAAAAATAAAATAAGAATACCTTTCCAAGTGGGTTGTTTGATGAGGGGGAAAAAGCTACTAGCGTTAATCTTTACATGATGCTTTTATCTGAAAGCCTTTTATACATCTCAACAATTCAAAGCTAGGATTTCCTCTATGGCTTTCGCCCAGCATTTGCTATTAAAAAAAGATGATCGGCGCTTGTCAGGCATGCAATGGGAGACTTAGGAAAGACTATGCAGTGTAACTGAATGTATATATATCTTGTGAGCTATCCAAACATCAGAGCTATGAAGAGTACTCTGCTAGAACATGAGAGTTATTCAAGCACAGTGAATTTTATGGAATCACTCAGTGCATCCAGCTTCCATGAGCCAGAGATCATACCAGTCTCCTGAAATGGGCAAAACCGTCAGGCTCAAAAAAGAGCAGTGTAGCTTGGACCAACCGGAGGTGTGATATTATACAGGAGGCACCTTTTTGAAAGTAATAAGGCAGTGGCTCCAAACCCAGGCGTTCTTGGGCTGCCACCCCCAGAAGGAATCACCACTAGCTGTGCTGTCTGGGGTTTGTAGGAGCTGCACTTACCTTGGTTCCCTAAGATTGGGAACCACTGCAGTAGGGCATTTTACCTGGCATTCTGATTCAAGTACTGAACTGAAAACGACAAAAGGCTCTGCCCCCACATTTCTTTGCAGTCAGAGAAGGATACACAGCTGTCACTGCCCAGTAAGAAATGCAGACGGCAATAAGAATGAAGGTGATAATCGGATAGAATAATGTAGACATAATATAGCCAATGGCTCTACGAAAAGAAAAAAGGGGGGGAATATAAAGATACATATTAAAACAACAGATATGAAAGTTCAGGCTACACATTTATATGCTTCTTTAAGTTTCAAGGAATGTTCCACCCATTATCTAGTTGAACGAGATAGCCCTTAAAAATGTCCATATTGTTTCCTAAATGATCATTCTTTTCACCATGATAGACAAGACCCATTATTATTTCTCTTTCCTGTTTTCTGTCTCAAGTTCTATTACTTCAATTAAACTTCCTCTCATTCTCCAGTAATCTTCTTTTAGCCTTATGCTATCGTTCTTATGCTTTCTGTGAATTTTTCTATGTTGGGTTTTCTGGTTTCACTTCTAGTATTTCTGCTTTATTTTTCTTCTCCTTCTTCAGCCGCTACCTTTGAATAGGCAGCAGCTCCCTTGCCCTTCCTAAAGGCGTACCACAGAGAACTTGATAGATACTATTTTGAAGCTGAGACCACCAACCTAGTTCTTCTCTGCCATATGATAACACTATGTTCCTTGCAACACTAAGGAAGAATTTGTTCTCTTGGGTGATGGTTACAGCAGCAAAATGTGCTCCATTTTTGCTGCTGACAGAAAGAATAGGAGATGTTTTCAGTGTCCTGTTTCTAAAGAACAACAACAGAGCTTGAGTTGAATCAAAACAAATCAAAACCACTATTCTTGAAGTCCATAATCCTAAAGCCAGGTATTTTAGGTTTGTTGAAAGCAATGCAAGACTTCCTTCAAAAGTCAGATTTTTTTAAACACAGCTGACATGGTTAAGAATGGACTTCTACCAGGCTTTCTGATTAGTAGTGTATTGGTTTCTTGCCTTCTACACAGCAATTCAGTCTCTTACATTATCTTTGTTCACTGTTGTACTCTCTATTCCTTTCCAGTGTTATACTGGCTTGGACAAGGGCCGCAGTCCAACATAAGTCAGGATATGATTCCTACATGATCCTCTGTTGAATCCAGAGGTTTCAGGTGCACAGATTAAGTCCCACATGGGGACTGGTGCCACACCTGGAAGTTGGCAATGATGGGCAGCCAATGCAATGTACGAAATCTTATTTCTTATTCTACTTATGCTTAAAGATCAGCAGGCATGTAGTTTCTAATTTCCATCATAAGAAAAATGGGCTATCGATCCCCATGTGCATACTCCACCCAATTGATGGGCACTAAGCCATATTTTTCCGTGTATAATACACCCCCTCCCCACTTTTCTAACCCAGAATTTCTTTCTTCACAAGAAAGTGGAGGGGGAAGGCAGAAATCAAAGTGCTTTGATCCCTGCCTTTCCTCTTCATTTTCTTGTGAGGAAAGAGCTTTCTCCCTCCACTTTCTTCCAAAGAAAGTGGAGGGGGAGAACAGGAATCATCAAAACAATTCATCAAAGTGATTCTTGCTTTCCCCCTCCACTTTCTTTGGAAGAAAGTGAAGGGGAATGCAGGGATCCAAGTGCTTTGATCTCTCCCCCCTCCTTCCTTCCGTGTATAAGATGACTCTAAATTAAATGTTTTAAAGAAAAGTATCATCTTATAGACAGAAAAATATGGTATATGTATAGCCAATTTCAACTCTGTCTTCTATTCTACCTCCAACACCTTCTTGCTCCTTGCCTTTTTCCTATGGCAAGTTCAAACTGCATATAGATTAAGGACTGGAAAATTAACTTTTTTGGATCACATATTCACTAACTGGGGGGTATTCTGGATGTTATAATCCCAAAAAAGTATTTTTCCCATCTCTGATAGACATTCATTTGCAACAAGACAGCAGTGTGCCAATGCTTCTGACATCCTTCCCTACATAGTATAGCTTTTTTAATAAAAGAGGTTTGTACTATTTGATGAGGGAAATGGGCTGTGAGCATGTGAGCACAATTTTCTTTAGAACTGCTGGACAGCTCAGTGGTTTAAGCACTGGCTGCAGAGGTTGGAAGTTTGATTCCCCACTGTGCCTTCCTGATAGGGGCTGGACTCGATGGTCCATAGGGTCCATTCCAGCTCTGCAGTTCTAAGATTACCTTATATTATATTTGTCATTACTTTGGATGGTACAAGGCTACACCTAGATGTTAGTTCTGCATGGGCAAATCATGATTTGTGATGGAAATTGCTTGAATACCTTTCGAGTCACTGAAGAAAAGTATCAGCTTATGCTACTTAAGAAATAATCACCACAAATCAGTGGTTTTCAGGAGCTAATGATAGGCCTCCTGGTTGACAGTGAAGTCACAGACAGTTTATTCGAACAAACTGCTTGTTAACTGTTCTAGCAATAGATTGCAAGTACTTTATTGCAAATATAAAATTGCTGATTCATTGAAGAAGAAGAATGTTAAACTGAGTCGAGGGAACATAATTTACCTCTCAGTCATTAGCAACATATTTTTCAAGACCTTGACTACGAGTATTGGGCACGGTCTGTTGTATTCATAATAATTACATGCAGTGTTTCTTTCCATGCATTCTGCATAAATATTGGGAAGCATTGCCCTCGAGTGACCTTTGAATGCAGCTGCAGAACTGCACGGTGTTATTACCTCCCACTGGGAAGCTTATGAAGTTTCAGGAGTGTTTCTGTATGGCATATATTTTAATAAAACCATTTTAGTTGATAAAGTGTTTCTGCATTGTAACAAAAGAGAACACATACAAACACACTGCAGTTCAGAGCTGCAACAGGTAACTGCCAATTCCTATCTTTATTGCTTTAATGAAAAGGGATTAATACATTTCAAAATTGCTGAACTCCTCTATTGCATTAAAACCTCCCTATTTTGATATTAAAGGCTTGAAGGACAAGAATAGCCTCCAGGAATGGAGCAAACATGAATTCACACTCCCACTGAAGTTGCTACCTGTAATGCTGTGTGTGCCAATAAACTCAATAAACCTATATGCTTTATTAGAATAGGTAGCTGTATTAGTCTGTGCAAGCATATCAGGCAAAAACAAAAGGAAAACAAAAAAGTATAAAAGACAAAAGCCTCCTCCATGTGGCCTCTGGATTCTATCTGGTTTTTGTCTTTTATTTTATTTTTTTTCCTATATGCTTTAGTTACTCACCCCCAGGTTACCACACCTATTTTTAGTTTACAGCAACACCATCAGAGGAAGTAAGTATAAGTACTTGGCAGAATAGTGCACCAAATTCATTGTAAAGGTAGCACTACTTGCCTGCTTTTACAATAAAGGCGCTGTTACTTACTAGAGATGGGATATTTGTGTTCGTCTCCTGGGAGAGACGAATATGAGTATGGCCACCACAGGTGGCTGGGCCCTTTGGACCCACCCCCCAAAATTTGGGCTCTCCACTTACCGTTCACAGTACAGCATGTGTGATGCCTGTCGTTTGTGCCGCACCAATTGTGGAAGTAGCCCGACTGGCGCTGCTCTGCCTCCCTGCGCTGCTGACCACTCTGGTGAGAAGGCAGGATGATGAGTCTCCCTGCTCAGCTGCTGAGTGATCAGCAGCGCAGGGAGGTGGGAGGGTGCTGGATGGGCTACTTCGGCAATGGGCACAGCGCAAACGACGACGGCCTCCAGGAGACAAATTCGAATATCCCATCTCTATTACTTATTGGGGGGCAAAATCCTGCTGTGTTTTGATGCTGGCAGCAGTGAAGTGGTGTAACTCACAGTAGCAAATTGGTGCTAATTAATGAATCCCTGCTTGGATCCCTGGTTGCATACTAAGGCCCCCCCCACCCCTGCCAAATGAAGCAAAATGGAGGAAACCAAGCAAGGACTTGTCAATTACTGGCAATTTGCCACTGCAATTTATGCCATCCAGTTCTAATACAATTATTACTATTACTTTCCCTCCAGTGTAACTACGCAACAGGATTTGGGCCAATGTTTCTTAAATATCTCTCCCACCCACGCACCAATACTCAGTACCATTCCATTACTGACTGTCCAGACACTTTCACAGGATGACAGCAAGTGTCTTCTATTCCACACCTTGGGAGCTCTTCCATGTGGCCTCTGGATTCTATCTGGTCACCTCTGCTGTTAAATATTTGCACCAAGCAGCTGAGCGCCTAATGCACTCCTTGACCTAGATTATCAAAATAATTTGCAATTTAAAATGTTCTCTTTCACCTAGATTTGCTCCTGGATACTAGATAGGTGTTAGGAGTGGCTCAATGTCTAAATGGGAGGGGCACCATCAATGCCCAGAACAGTGCCCCAGAACTAGATGGGTGGGATATAAATGTAATGAATGAATAAAATAAAATAAAAAGATGGGGCAATGCACCATGCTTACACCACAGGTAGCTATGATAGCTGCTATGGCCAGGTGTGTCTTCATCTCAGTTATATCTTAATTCACAGTTTGTCAATTTAGATACAACTAAATCCCTAAGGAGTTTTCTAATACCGATCGTATTGCAGTAATCGTGCAAACCAACTACTTAAATGGTCACTACATGATTGCCTTTGATCTACAATCATTGCAACAAGTGGCAGCTATTGTTTCACTGGCGAGGTCCAGAGAGAAAGCACAACTGGCCCTTACAATGATTTCCAGGCACTTTCCAAACCCACATTATTAACTGAATCCTCCACAGTACCTTGGTAACATGGGGACCGATTTCCTTTTTTCTTGAGGGAATGAAACCAATCAAACAATATAATGTTTCTGGCAGAACTATTTCTTTATCTAGCCCAGTTTTGTTAGAATGCACTTGAGTACATACAGACAGTGCTATTTGTACTCCAGGTTTTCTGTGTGGATCTAGAAAGATGAGGCGAGGCCACTTGGCCTTAAACCACACCCAAAGCAAAACCTGAATCTGAATTTTTTTACTTCACTGTTCCTAAGCTTCTAAACACAACCAGCAGAACAAGTGCATGATGGGACATGGCCCATACTTAACACTATTCACATGGAGGAAAAGAAGAGACATCTGCTATGTTTTTCAAATTTCCCCACCCACCCCAGCTAGGTAAATATACAAGGTCATACATGAAGACATAAGCAGTGATGGATACAAGGGTCTGAAACAACACACACATAAAAACTGAAATATTCTTCAAAATATTCACTTCCCACCTCCCCCTCCCAAAATTTACCTGCTGCCTTCCTTCAAAAGTGCAATAGCAATCCGAATTCGATTTCTCAGAAATATTAACATCAGTATAATAATAACTTCCACTAGGCAAAGTAGGATCACTGCAAGAAAGAAAATTAACATGTGTCAAAGGAGCTCATTAACTTTTTTTTCTATCATTACTTCAGTGTTGCAGTGCATCACTCTCGGGTGCTCTGCACATGCCCCAGAAATATTGTTTTATGAATGCTTGGAGGAATACTTGCTATGTAGAATGTATCCCTTCCCATGAGTATATATTTGTGTGTATGATTTTGTGTGCATGAAGTTGATACTTCACCAGTATTATAGCATAAAAGAGAATTTGTAAAGAACCAAACCATTTGTCCTAAAACAAAGCAATTAAATGCAGTGCTTTGCTTAAATGTCATTTAGGCATAATGTGTTCCATTTGACGAAATGTCTCCTTACGATTAGATGATCATTATTCAGGGGCTGCCTTTTGCTGCTATTTTAGTTTATAATAGCTGGAAAAGATAAATGGAATTGACGTTTTAACAGAAATGGCTGATTGTGACCTCTATTATCCCAGTGTCAGTCAAAAATAATTCTACAATAATCACGAGACTTATTGGAAACTAAAAGCGGAAACTAAAAGCAGCCTGATCATTTAAACAAGCTCTGAATTTGCTCAGAGAGAACAGAACTAAAGCTAGGAAAACAATGGCATAACAAATAGTTTTATGGAGATTTTTATATACAATGGCTTGCGCAGTCAGAACGAGTCACAGACATACCAACATTCTGTGCATTCTTATTCATCAAGTTATACCCAACGATTTGGAATTAGATGTACGTTTCTTCACATTTGGAGAGCTTGGGAAGTGGGGAGGATTTTCCATAGTATCCCTGGTTATCTAACCTTTGTCCTAAAGCTGTGTCAGACTACAATTCCAGTCAATGCCAGCCTGCATGGTTAAGAGCTGTTTGGTGAATTATTACATTCAGCTCAGCCCACTGTATTGTTATATGGAAGGGAAGTATCATGTCTAATTCACAGAAGAGGCGGTTGTCTGCCTGTTGTACAACTGTCATATAACTGATTGTGCAATAGCCATCTCTTTATACAGCTGTGGCCACTTCTGCAACTTCCATTCTGCATGTGGATATCCCAGCAGGACATTGGCCAATACCTTTCCATTCCCCTTCATAGCTTACACAATCAGACATATTGTTCCCACCATCCTTAATCCCTGAAGAACTGCCTTCTAATTTAGTTGTTTGCTCTATGGCCTATAGAATGACATAGAGTGAAATCCACCATGGATGACTTTACACAGAAATGGATTTAGGTGGCTTTAAGTACAATAATCCACATACCCTTCACTGAAAATGTCTGATGCATCTGAGAACTATCTATGAGAGCAGAAAGTACAAAAGCAGAAAATTGCATGGCAGGCCCCATAATCATGTGGAAAATGTATTATGCAAATTGGTTCTTCACAACAACTTCCTAATTTTCTCTTGGAACAAACAGTCCCCAAGGATACACACTCATGTTTTAACTGGAAGTTGCACGATTCCAGAAATTTAATGAAGTTTCATGAAGCTGTAATGTCCTCCAGATAAACAGATGGATGGATAGACAGACAGATTGATAACTAGATATACAGACAGACAAATTCTAAATTTTGATTTAATCTTCCACCTGTAGGAAATAAACAGAGTTTCCACACAGGTTTCAATGTGTTTAAGATGTTATCTAGCTTTGAATAGGTAAATAGTTCAAATTCAACTACAGTACACAATTTCTAAAAACAAGAATTGATAAAGATCAGGATTGTTCAAAGGTGACTCTCTCTGCTGCCTAATTCAAAAGTGTGGGAACAGAGTGCAACTATTTTTAATGCTAATAGAAGTCCATAATCTATGCAAGAGAAGGGGCACTATATACCAAACTGATGGAATGAGACAGACTTGCTATTCAAATGACACACTGCCTGTACTTACTGGTGAAGGAAATGTACTCCATAAATTCTTAAAGGATACCCCAAATGTTGAGTCTTAGCAATGTAAAAAAAATTCCAAGCCTGGCTCAAATCCACCCCTGCTTAATTTTCTCTTAGGGTCGCATCAAACATTACAAACACTGTGCCCAGAATTTTTACATGTCCAATTTGTTCTGTGTTTGTTCTCTTAATAAAAAATTATTATTGGCTCCACATACTCACCTGACCATACAATAAATCTGTAATGATCACTTATCAGCATCACACACATATGACTTTTGTACTCTTTCTTTCAAAGAATAGAGATGCAAACCTTTGCTACTCTGTTCTTGCAATTTAGAATAAAAACCTCAATAATTTCCGCGCTAGAGGGCAAAATTATTAAAGTTTCTGTGCAATGTTTGTAAATCAAGACTTTCTGAAAAATACATGTCTTCTGCACACACAAACATACAACTACTGGTTGCTAACACTGATGCTGATAGAAAAATGCTGGCCTTTTTGTTCTTGCACAGATACAAAAAATAACATAGCAGTTAACATTTTTTCTGAATTGTGTCTTGATGCACTCTTTTTTGTTTATAAAGAGAAATGGTAATACAGAAGTGCTTTCTTTCTAAGAAAAAAAATAGTTTCCAGCCAGCAACATAAGCACAAAGTTCAAAACAAGAACCTTGTAATATAGTCTCTGCTCTGGTCATGAGTTTAATCATGACTGGAGCACAAACTATCTATATACTTTAGCCACCATTTCCAGACACGAAAGAAAATTCAACCTTTAATTAGATTAATATGAAGTGTGTGCACAGACTTCTCATAAAATGCACTTACTAAACGCTAACCATGTTTGCCTCAGTTGCAGATATACTCTAAAGTCCGTCTGGAATCCAATATCATAGATAGTAAGATCAGAGCCTGGTATTCCATGAAGGCAGTGATATTCCCAGTAGCAATGCCAGATACCTTTTAGAAAAGAAATACAGTAATGGAATCAGAGATTGGTACGAAAAGTCATTTAAATCAACTCCACACTCAGAGAAAGGAAGAAAAATCCCAAGCCACTTCTATGTGAAACCCATTTCCAACATGAATTTCAAGGGGGGATTTGCATTGTGGGACTGCAAGTGTGTAGGCCAGAGCTGATGGACATTGCAGTGGCACTCAAACAGTGGTGGACCACAATCTGAGTGCCACACTTCTTCTATCAGGTCCTTGACTAATTGCTACCAGAAAAAAAGCTTAACAATTACATGGACTCTGTACACACATCTCTTTCAAAGAGTGAACAGAGGAGGAAGCTGAAGCTATTTGCAGCTTTGCAATGCACATATACATTGTGAGACTGAAATGTACAGAGTGTGAAAAAGTTCCTTTTTTAGATTCGGCATACCAGACAGCATGGGAAAAGTGGCTGTTAGAAATGTGTATGGATTGGCATAGGTGATAATCTAAGTGCAGTTTCCCCACATTTCTTCTTTTTGCACACATAAAAACCATGAAGAAATGGAAAACCCTACTTTTATGGACTAAACAACCCAGAATACCTCAGTCAGCATAGTTACTGCCCATGCTGGCCAAGGATTCTGTATACATATATTTAAACTGACAAAGCCTTGTATTTTATTAAAGAGTCTGTATCATTACAAAAACCTTATTTAAGAGCCTGTATTGCTACATAAATCTTTTTTTTTTTATTTTTATTTTTCATTTAGGACACAGAGTGGTGAAATGATGATGAACCTGTCAAGTCATAAAAACATAGGAACAAAAAAAAATGGTTGTTTAATCCTATGGACAAAATCTCCAACAAAAGTTATATAGTGATTTTAATCTTCCACATGTATGTTTATGTATGTGTAAATACAAATATGAAAGGTGCTCTCTCTCTCTCTCTCTCTCTCACACACACACACACACACACACACACACACACAAGCATATAAAAATAAATCAAAAAGAACTGAAGAATGGATAGAAAACCTCAGTAACCTTTTGCATTGTTCTTTGATTCCATGCCATGTTAATTGGCCAAATAGATGCTGCTATTCTATTCAGCAAAGAAAAACATAAGCTCATCTTCTACCATGCCTAGGAGGTATGTTCCTTAGCTGAGTAATAGCATAAAAGTAAAGGTAAAGGTAAAGGTCCCCCTTGACAAGTTTTGTCCAGTCGTGTTCGACTCTAGGGGGCGGTGCTCATCCCCGTTTCCAAGCCATAGAGCCAGCGTTTTGTCTGAAGACAATCTTCTGTGGTCACATGGCTAGTGCGACTTAGACACAGAACGCTGTTACCTTCCCACCGAGGTAGTCCCTATTTATCTACTCGTATTTGCATGCTTTCGAACTGCTAGGTTGGCGGGAGCTGGGACAAGTGATGGAGCTCACTCCGTCACGTGGATTCGATCTTATGACTGCTGGTCTTCTGACCCTGTAGCACAGGCTTCTGCAGTTTAGCCCACAGCGCCACCACGTCCCTTTAGAGTAATAGCATACACCTTACTAGAAATGGTTCTGCAAGGCAGATGGTATAGGCACAGGATTCCAAACTAGTGATTACCAATCCACTGGTAGGATGTTCAGGCAGGCCTTCCCCCTTTCCAGCTAATACCCAATTATACTTTTTTAAAATTCTTTTTCCTTTCTGCTATAATAAACCCTGTTTCTTGCCATCTTTGGGAAAATTTTATTTTATGTTATTTTTTAATGCAAATTATGTTATGTGATATGTCATATGTTTAATGTTATAGTGTATCTTGTAAGCCGCCTAGAGTGGTCACAACTGACTAGATAGGCGGGGTATGTATGTATAAATAAATAAATAAATAAATAAGATGTGACTATCCCTTCCCCTCCGCCCGTTATAATTTTTAGGTGGTGTACATAGCCCTGTGTAAAAAAGAAAGTATTTAACATTTACCATATCCTATAATCCCAATCACACCAAAGATGAAAATCCAGAAGAGAACCCCTGCTATGAATCTCAGAAGTATGAGGAAGAGCAAGCTGACCACCATTGCAATGAACAGACCTCTGGAAAACAAAGAGACAGTAGTTCAAATACATCAACCGCCTCACCTACACCTCTCCCTGCCTACAATGCCTATTTACTTTCCAAACAAGAAGTTGCTCTTTTGAGAAAAGTGCTGACTCCTATACAGGCCCAAGAATTATGTCAATATGCACAAATTTTGCAGAATGACCAAATCCCCTATAACTAGAGGTTGTAGAACTCTTGTTATTGACAGATGGCATAGTTAAACAAAGAGCAGGATCTAGATTCAAAGTTACTAGACATTGCCAAGTACAAGGAATTAAATATTTCTGCCTATAGCAGGAAGACGTTTTGTTCATATGTGGCAGGTGTACATGCCTCTTGTTCCAAATACAGTGCTATGTGGTTCTACCCCATCTCTCCAATTTTCTGGATTCCACAGTGGCAGAATGCCTAATGCCCTTACACAAATAATGCAAAAGAATCATGTTGCATCACTGGATGGAAAAGTCCTTTTTTGGGAGGGGGAATGAGAACACCCTGAATCCCTCAGATAGCATGGCCTCTAGTTATGTGGCTGGGTTGGATATTACAGTCCAAAAGGAGAACTTTTCCAAACTATGGAAGTGGCAAAGGATGCTTCCTTCCCTCCCCTTTTCCATTTCTTATATCACCACAGCATGAAAGCAAACTTACATCAAAATCCAATGCCAAGAACTGGCGTAATCTTCAAAAATTTTCATCCCAACTGATCTTGCATCGAGAACATTATTGATGCCACTTTAAAAGAAAAGAAAAGCAAGGAGCTTCAGTTTATGTGAAATAACATCCTTTATTTAAACCAAGCAACTTCAGGGCTTACTATAATAACAAAATACAGGCTCTATCATAAAACATTTTCAAATCATGGCTCTCTTCATTGCATTTAGTTTCCTACCAAAACAGAACATAAAGTACCATTGGTAGTAATAAAACTATATTACAATACTGCATCTCAGGGTTTCTGCCCCAAACAAGCATCAGATGTACACTAAGTTAAATTCAATAGAGATTTAAGTGATTTATGTTGCAAATGCACACTCATCAGTAACTCTCGCAGAACTCAGTGGCACTTACTTCTACATAGATGCATATTCACAGTGTATATCTATTCATAGTTACACTCCCTTTGCGAAAAATTCAGCAGTGCACTGTGATAGCTGATTAGCATTACAACCAGATATAGAACCTTCATGGTTACAAGGTGGAATATGAAAACTTTCACTTACATCTTTCATTAACCACACCTTGTCATGTCATCTGAATTTGGAAAACAGTAACTGGTAGTGTTTAATATTGTTAATCTGTGATTAATCAAAACATGGTGTATGAAGCTGTGTTGTTTGAAGCTATCCATGGCTAAGTTTAACCCCAGCTCCAGATTTCCATAAGATTACTATTCCTGACTTGTGTAAATTGATTAATCAAAAGTGGAAGTGAAAGTGCTTGAAATCTATCTCTCAATAGTATGGGAGGAAGACTTGAGAGGAGGGTGAACATTTGAGGGAAGGCTATAATCAACATTTAGTAGGGCAGGTGAACACAGTCTTTGTGATTGATTGATTGATTGATTGATTAGGCATCCTTCAGTCTGAAGAGACTATGGTAATGTGCTCTGAATAGAGGACTTGGAACAGTGTCCAGTGTGGCTGAGAAGGCCAATTCGAGAGTGACAATCCCTTCCACACTGAAGACAAATACAATCTGTCCCCTGTCCAGCTCCCTGATTTTGCTGGTTTTGGGATTGCCTCTTTGCCTCCTGCTGGACAAGGGTCTCTTCAAAATGAGAAAGGCCATTACAGTCTTTGTAAGAACATGGGAAAAGTGTTTGTTTCGGTGCTGTGCTAAACACTTCTCCCAGGAGTCCTTCCACAGGACTTTTTCACATCAGGAAGTGGAGGCAGCAAAAGATGTTACAGAAGAATGAGTGGTGTGTTGGTATTTTCAGTGGCATTAGTGTGAGGTAGTGAAATAAAGCAGCATGACTACTGCTAATGGTGAGCTCCAGTAGCTCTGAGATATTGTTGGAGAATGTCTTCTTCCCCTGAGAAAATCAGTGCAAGACCTTTCCCCCTTCCAATTTTCTTTTCTCACAAACAGCATGGAGAATTTAAAAAGGTCATTTCTGCACAGCTGTAGTTCATTCAGTCTCCTTCCGCCCACTCACTGCCTTGTGTGGGCTTCAACATTCAGCAAAATAGCACAGAGTACATGAGTACACCAACATCCTCAAGCGTTTGTTTACATACTCAAGGTTTAGAATTTGTTATCACAGGGTTAGGAAATAACCCCAGGAAGGAGGGAATGGCTGGCCAAAGCAATAAACACCTCCTCTCCTTATGCTTCTTTGCCTTAAAATGCACTTCTAAAGCTTTCTTAAAATTAGAAGTGGAGGAGTGGGGAAAATATCATTACTGATTCACATACATTTGTGCATGATTGGTCTTTTAAATGACTGAAGTCAAAAGCATGAAAAATGCATCTCCCTTTTAATTTACAGATGAGACATTGCAATCAGTGCTCTCAAAAAAATCCACTGTGGTGCATTAAGAATACAAACTGTCATGTGACTAACAGGCGGGCAAAACAGAACAAACAAGCACACGTAGTCCATACTTTGCAGCTTCCCTGAGATCAGTTACGTTCCTTGTCTTTCCTCTTCCATCCTTGAACGTAGTTTGATTAGCCACAGTCAGAACACCATTTTTAGTGGAGAAATCAGGAAAGCACCTCTTAAGAACTGTACAAAGAAAGAAATATGCATGGTTTGCCTTGCTCTTAGACAATTAATCTTCACTATTTGTATCTGATGTTCAGTTCTATTGGTTAAAATGCTTCAAACTGATTTCTGATAGAAAGATAAAAAAATATTGTGGTGAATTAACATTGCTATCTCATCACCAAGAAAAAGAGAAACACTGGATAGAAGAAATACATGCCTTGAAGCAACGTGGCAAATAAATTGTGTAAATTATTAAACTAATGGGCATATCTCATTTTGCAGAGTCAGTTTTGTAATTATGTTGTTATTCATTCTGTTAGCTTACCTACACAATAGTTAATCCTGACCCATTTTCAACAAAACCCTCACTTTCAGGTAAACATGCAGACTTTTGCAGGAAAGGCCACAGCAGACATGGTATCAAAACTACAGTATTTTGTTTTTTAATGTATGTTGTTGTCGTCGCTACTGTCATGACTATCATTGTATTTAGCAATGCAAGCAGCATCAGCTGAAGAGGCTAGTAGTTAGTGCAAACTTACTAATGATTAACCCATTTGTCTGCTCCTTCACTACCTAGGTCCTGTGGGAAATTCAAACTTTGAAGTAACTATATGCACCTAACATCATGTCCAGGTGACTTTGAAGTCTGCTTTTTACAAACAGCCCAATAACATGGTGAGCTGACTTTTGTTGCTGCTGCTGCTTAAAGTGAATGTGCCACAATCATGTCCAATTTTTTGGCAGAATCTCTTAGAGTTTCATTTTCACAAGGGCAGCACCACAGCCAGAGGTAATAGCCAGTGCCACCATACTAAATGTCACCTCACCAGCTTTTCCTCTTGCAGATTCTATGCCTTTCTGTCCAGGCTGTTTGTGCCATCACTTCTGATGTATTATTTTCCTAAACTAACTACCTAATTTAGACTACAGTAGTTAAATACTTTTTCTTTGTAGCCTGCTTGCTCGTTTCTTGTTTCATCTTCATTTACCCACATCTGGGAGAGTTAATTCTGACCTTCCAGATGTTTTTCATCTATAACATCCATCACTATTAGGCAGCATAGTCAATGGTGGCAAGTTATGGGACCTGCAGTCCCCAAACATCTGGAGGGCCACAGTTGCTTTCTCCAGATCTATACATCTGCACATCTGAATCTGACTAATTATGTAAATGTCACTTAAAACCGTATCTTACTTAATCTCTTTTTATTGTCAGTGCCTCTATGTGAAATCTGAAATGCAGTTATAAATACTGTTGCACAAGGTCTGTAAGATTAAATCAATGAAGCCTTCCCACCTTCTGATGATTTTTGTCTCACCTGACATGTATAGAAAGACATATTTTTTTAGTCCCCAACTACAATCCTTTTTTTTCCTTTAAGAAGAGTCGTACCCATTGCCTATCTCTACATTTTCTACCTCTCCTCCTTATACAGAGGGGTCTTTTCAGTCACCTAAATTGAATTAGAGAATGATACCAACACACTCTTGCCTTCCTAATGATGACTGCCACTGCAACTATTCTTTCTTTGCAGAGATTCTTTGTTTGAGTTTCCAGGCTTGAAATCACTGCCATCTACCAACCGAACACAACAAATAAAAGAGAGATAGAAAAGGGAGAAGAGATCCCACTGGTAAGTAAGCATTCTCATAAAACCAGGATGAAAAGGAACAGCAAAGAGAGTAACTAAAATGAACCGTGGATGAAGAAAGCACTGATTCTGATTCAGTCTCTTCTGTCTTGGATGAAAGCAGGTAGCAACAGACACATCACACATTTTGCCAACTGCTGGTTTTGCTTGCCTGAGGTCCTTCTTCCTTCTCCACTCCTCAAGGGAGGGATGCAATAAAGGAAAACGGACATCTTGTTTTCATCCGTGCCCACCACCATGTAACTGGAGATTTATTCATTAGTTGCTTGCCTCCTTCACTCTAGTTCATAAACATGTTAAAAGGTGTTTTGTTTAAAAATCTACAATGCATGCACCAACTCTGAAGAGCACAGTAACACTCTCATTAAAAATCAATAAACTGAAAAATCATATTAGAAATACAACTGATGAGAGTTGTCGGCCAGACATAATAGGGTGAAACTGACATGCTGTGTATAAAAGGCAATTTCTATATGTTGCTAGGGGCAGAGTATGACATAGGCAAGTATTATGAAATGTAACGTTGCTCATCGTATTACAGGACTTTATCTTACTCCAGGGCACTATGGCCTTGCATCTGCTTCTATGCTATCTGCAGAAGAGTCCAGTGACATTTAATCATGTGTGTGAGGGATGACTATGCATTAAAGGAAACAGTAGAATAATTCCAAATGAGAACATGATTTAAGAGACACATATGAATTCAGCCTTAGTGGAACTGAGTGTGCGTGTGTGTGTGTGTGTGTGTGTGTGTGTGTGTGTGTGTGTGTGTCTGTGTCTGTGTCTGTGTCTGTGTCTGTGTCTGTGTCTGTGTCTGATTTGTTCTGTAATCGTCATCTTGAACCCAAAATGAATTCAGAACCTCCAAGGAATGACTGTGGACTAACTTCGATAGCATCTTGGACTAATAAGGCCATTTTTACTCAGTGAGAATGAAGTACGCTGCAGAAATACTCAGATACTACTTACAAGGCCGGCTTGGAACAATCATGGAAGGACAATCTTCATCACGCATAACTTGGGTCACAGACTAGAAATGAGAAGAAAATGAAAGCTAAAAATTCTCATCTAAGAAATGTTTTGTTTCTAAAAATTTATTTTAAAAACAGACAACACATTCTGTCTGGGGGATAATTTTAAAAATACAACCCTCACCTAAATAATTTGATGGAGGCCTCAGTGGAGCACTTAAATAAGAAAAATGAGGGACTCAGATCTAGCTGACATCATACTAACAATGAAAACAGAACAGCAGGCACCAAAGCTTGCTTTTGAATAGAAAATGCTTCCGCAGGTGGCTTTGTACTAATCTCAGATAGAAGAAAATTACCTTTTAACACAATTAGCATAATTAACTTAAGGCTGCAATCAGGACCCAGTAAGGTGTCTTCAGTTTGAGAAGAATATTATAGTAGGCTTGTTTAAAAAAAACACACACACACACACACACACACAAACACACACACCACAAGAACCAAGTTGCTTCAAACTTGTGATGTGATTGCAAAGTTAATTAATTAATTTTCATGACTAGCATACACTCCTGTTCCCCACCACTGAAACAGGCATTTGCAGAATAATTGCCAAACCCAAACTTACATAAAATCAGACCTCTGTTAATTCATATGTAATTTCTGGAAGTAGCTGCTCTGCTCCATTCCACTCCCTGGCACTGAGTTTCCCCACTTCAGTGCCCACAAAGCCCTGTTGTAAAGTCCATGATGACCCCCTCCGCTTCCCCTTCTCTACCATTGCCCAAAGTGTATTTCTCCCCACCCACAGAACAAATTAACATGATTTGAAGAACAGCACCACTCACGCTCTCCCTACCCTCGTTTTAATTTTCCCACAAAATTAAATGAGCCTATGATCAGGTGTTCTGGAGAAATCAAGGCAGCCTGTGTCTGAAAGGCTTTACCAATGTTCTATTTTGTAGTATGCTCAATTATTTGGGGAAAAAACAGCGGGGGGGGAGGGATGGACAGGGGAAAAAATCTCCATCCCATAGGTATCCAATAAACTGAAGGGGGGGGATACAAACTGCTTATGGAAAAGTGTTTGCAGAGTGACAATGGAATGCTGGGAACTAGAGATGGGGGTATTTGTATACGAATATCCCTGCACAGATAGAAATAATGATTTCGCTTCTGCCACCAGCTCTGCAGAGGCTTCCTATCGCACTCTTCACCACAATGGATTAGCCACTCTTCAACCTAGCAGAGAAGCTTGTCATCCCACCTCCTGCCGGGACTGGGTAATCGATTGCAGACAACGGCGCGATAGGAAGGCACCGTGAAGCCGGTGGCAGTGGCAAAATTGTGAGTGGACACAATGGGGCCGGACCCTCATTATTTCCACCTGTGTGGGAATATTCGTATTTGTATAAGAATACCCCCATCTTTACTGGGAACAGCTGTGAAATGACCACTAAAGGGTAGCCGTAAGAAAAGAAAGGAACATGTGCTTGTTGGAAGAATAAGTCATGAGTAGGTAACAAACACCTAAGTAGAGACAAATGGGGCAAGGATGATAGGATCAACTGTAAGGGGCGATCTTGAAAAAGAAGCATTCATTCATTCATTCATTCATTCATTCATTTAGCAGTATATGAGGATTAAATATGTGATTAAGCTTTTGGTGTTCTGTTTGGTGTTCTGCTCCAGACTCTGTTTTTGTACTCATTTTCAGTTCTTCTTCCTAATATATTTCTTGTCTCCGAGTCTCTCCAATTTACTTTCTGTGCAATGTCTATTGTGTTCTCATTTGTGAAATTCATATTCAACCTCTACCTTGTACTCAACTCCTTTGGCAAATTCCTTCTTTGTCCCCATTAATGGTGCCCATGGTAACTATTTAATGTACCCAGGTCCCAACAGGAGCCATTTTGTGATTAGCCATGCCTACACCATGATGTCCAGTTCCTAGAGCTGCTGACAAGAGTTTCTTAGTTCCCCAAATGTATCTATGGCCATAAAAATCTCAGGGTGTGTTGGTCTGGGAATCTCAAGTCGATGTCCTGAATAAATTGCCAGTTAAGAGTCAGACAACCTGGCTTACACTTTCTGGGATGTCCATATAGGGCTGTACTCACTATTACACATAACAATGTAACTGGGTTTTTGTTCCAAAAAACATTCTCCCTTGCAGTAACACTAATGAGTATGAAAATAAATCTACCAGCTTCAGGTATATTTTCCAGACCATGACAGAGAAAAGAGGCTGATCCAAGGACTCTCCAGACATATATATATATCCGGCCCATCTGGTATATCATACCACTCTGGGCGGCTAAAAGCAAAGGATATACAATTAAAATAAAATCCATGAACATCAAATACTAACAAAACTATCAAAAATAATAAATGATGGATAGAAAAAAGGAAGGAAATTAGGTCAAATCAGATTACATGCTAGCAGGAGGGAAGGCCTGAACGTAAAGCCATGTTTTTACTTGCGTTTCAAATGTACCCCGCGTAGGGGCCGCGCAAATCTCAGGAGGGAGATTGTTCCAAAGGCGAGGAGCCACCACCGAGAAGGCCCGGTTTCGCGTCTTTTCCCACCGGGCCTCCCTCGGCGTCAGGCTCCTCAGCCTCACCACCTGGCTCGCGCGGGTGGTCCGGGTAGATCTTGGTGGGAGCAGGCGTTCCGCCAAGTATCGAGGTCCCAAACCGTTTAGGGCCTTATAAGTGAGCATTAGAACTTTGAAGTCGATGCGGAAACGAATGGGCAGCCAGTGCAGTCTGGCCAGGGTAGGAAAAATGTGGTGGTGTTTTCTCCCTCCAGTAAGGAGCCTGGCCGCTACATTCTGCACCATCTGAAGTTTCTGCGTCAACCTCAAAGGCAGCCCCACGTAGAGCGCGTTGCAGTGGTCTAATCTTGAGATTACGAGCGCGTGCACTAAGGTAGTAAGTGCCCCCGTGTCGACATAGGGCCGCACCCGGGCGATCCGCCAAAGATGGAAAAAGGCGGAACGGACGACCGACACCACCGGCGGTTCCATGGTGAGCGTCGGGTCCAAATGTACGCCCAAGCTGCGGACCCCACTCGCCGGAGCCAGGGCCGCCCCCCCAAACGAGAGAGAGCTACCCAAGCCTCCTGCTGCGGGGGCACCCACCCTCAGAACTTTCGTCTTGTCCAGGTTCAGCCTCAGGCCGTTCTCCTGCATCCATTCCAGTACGGTCCCCAGGCAGCGCTGAAGGGACAGGACAGCATCACCTGCAGTTGGTAAAAAGGAGATGTAGAGCTGGGTGTCATCAGCGAACTGGTGACACGACACTCCACACCCCCTGATGACGCCAGCAAGCGGCCTCATAAAGATGTTGAACAGCATTGGAGAGATAATCGACCCCTGCGGAACCCCACAATTGAGACTCCACGGGGCCGAGACACTCTCCCCAAGCTGTACTCTCTGGGGACGGTCCTCCAAGAAGGAATGGAGCCAGGCTAACGCCAAGCCACCGATTCCCAGCTCGGAGAGCCTCCCCAGAAGGATACCGTGGTCGACGGTATCAAAGGCCGCCGTGATGTCGAGGAGGACTAACAGAGACGTTTTGCCCCTGTCAGCCTCCCTCAACAAGTCATCATACAGGGCGACCAATGCCGTCTCTGTCCCGTGGCGCGGCCTGAAACCCGACTGGAACGGATCCAGGGCATCTGTTTCATCCAGGAGGGCCTGAAGCTGATCTGCCACCACCCTCTCCACCACTTTGCTCATGAAAGAAACATTGGTGACGGGCCTATAATTGCCAATTTCGTCCGCCGCCAAATTAGGTTTCTTTCTTATGGGCCTAATGAGTGTCTCCTTGAGGGCCGGTGGGAACCTGCCCTCAAGGAAAGACCCATTTATTATTGCTGTGGCCCACTCAGTTGTTTTGCTTTCAGTCCCACGGCTTGTAAAACACTATGGGCGATGGACCTTTCCTGTTTAGCACTGGGGAGCCTTTTGATGGCAAACTTGGCTTTCCATCTATGAAGAGAGAGATACTCAACATCCACTAGTGTCTCATTCCTTGGAGCACAGGCTACCTGAAAATGTATTTTATAAGCCTTTTAATGATCAGCTATGCCAATAAAAAAAAACCCTATCCCTGTTCGTAGCTATGTTACAGTTAATACCATTTGTCCTATGGCTGGCCTTGTTGTAACCAAGAGAAGAAAAAAAAGAAAGAAAGAAATCAGCTCAGGTATGCAGATAGATATCTGCTAAGGATTGTGCTTGTTTGGGGTAGATAAAAGGGGACACCCAGACCATAATATCTCTCGATACTCACCTTCCGTGGCTTATTAAAGCCAGGTTTGCAAAACTGTCTGTAGTATTCCCAATAATTTCTGTAGGAAGATTGCATTTCTATGTAGGTTGCGAACCTGTCTGGGCACTTTGAGACACAAAGCTTTAAGACAAGAAAAATGCATATTGATCAAAGCAGTACTGAAAAATAAGAATGGTATATTATCAAAGCAACTAGGGAGAAAAAAATCTAGAAGTATTTAATTTTGTCAGACTGCCTGCTTATAGCACCACTTGGAAGTAAATGCAGTAATTTTACCTTCCCCCCAACTTCACAATCTCCAATTTAGTATGTGAGAAGAGGTAGTGTGAATCTTCCTAAATGTTTTTGCCTGCTAGAAATGTTTGATATTAGGTCTTAATAAAGCACTGAGACCAAGACTTGTTTTTCAACCTAATCTCCTTATGCATAACTACGTATGGAAGGCAATTCAAGGAATACCCATGGAGTATGGCTTGAGTAGCATTCATATTCATAATATACAAATGTTGAGCAATAAGGGGTGCAATAGCTAAGATGGTTTTGCCCTGTTATAACATAAAGTAAGTTCAAGTTTCAACAATTCATTCCAAAGCAAAAACATGTTTGCATTCCTTCAGGAGAGTACACAAACTAAGGTTGAGGAATCATTAATTCTGGCCCTAACTTTCTGAAATTATACTAGGTAGAAATCATATCACATAGAGTGCTTGGATTTGTATTTTGATCTCAAGTTTCACTATAACAAGAGATTAATATTTGAAGAGCATGGTCCAAAATTTAGAATTTTAAGGATAATCCAAAGGATATGTAACATACAAAAATTGCATATATGTCCTCTTTAGACGTAGTTTGGTCTGCATCCTTTGCAGTATAAATCCACTATCCAAGGATATTAAATAATCTGCATAACGTAGCTATATATATAGCTACGTTAGTATCCAAGGATATTAAATAATCTGCATAATGTAGCTATATATATAGCTGCGTTATGCAGCTATATAATTTGTGTTTCCCAGATTTTTAAATTTTTTTTGCTTATTTTGTTTGTTCATTTGTAAGAGCTATATATATTCTGTTCCCCAGATTTTTAAAAATACTGTATTTTTGCTTATTTTGTTTGTTCATTTGTAAAATTATATTATTTGAAACCATGTGCATGAATGCAATTTACTTACAGAATAAAGTTGAATTTCAAATTATATGGGCTGAATACTAATAAGCATTGTCTGATGATTTTTGTAATCTTAAAATAATAGTCATAGGCTTAGGAACTCAGGAATGACAGACTATGTTCCATTTCAGCAGCAGCTCTTCTTTCATTGCAGGAAAGACATACTCTAGACATGGAAACCCCCTGGAAATTGTCCCCAACAAGGTAGAACAAAATGTGTGTGGGAGCAAAAGCACTCTGTAATACAGAATTTTCAGCATTGAGCAGTAGTAAAATTATAAAATCTTATAACTACAATTAATAATTTTTCAAAACATTGGGGGTCAATACTGCAATACCATAGATTTACTTTAAGCAAAACCAGACAGGTTGTTTATACCCTTCCACTCTAATAAGAGATAGTCAAACCTGGCACCCAGGAAATCATTAGCCAAACCAGAAGGCAGCTGATGTAAGTAAGGGGAAGTAAAGTGAAACAGCCGCAGCACAGATTATTATTCAGTGCCGCTCACTTCTATGGATAAAACCAGTACAATTGCTAGCTATTATAAAAAGAAGCTCTATATTTCTCAAAAATACCTTGTGCTGCAGAGCAAACAACAATCCTTGAAAACCATTCAAATTATTTCCCCCTAAGATAAGCAGCAATATTACACAAATTGAAATATACGGTAGCTAGATTACTGGCAGTGATTTTTGACTGTCCCCAATTATTTCTTCTCACCCCCCAAAATATTTTCAACATTTTTGAAAGTTGCCTTCAAAATGGATAAGCCACATCCTTTTATTCTTATTCAACTGTCCTGGGTATTTCTTTTGAGAACATGTACATATACACAGACAAATGCAAACTTATACAGCCATTAGATCTGACATGATCATTTTCTCCTGTACCGCACTATACAAAAAGCAATTGATAATGTTAACATTGCTCATCTTAGAAACAACTAGTATGCCAGGATATAATCTATTTATTCTGGTTCTTTACTACATACCTGTGTTGTAGGGCACTGTAGGTTTATTAGCACTATAGGGCTGGCACATTTCAGAATGTTAAAATAAAACAAAATTGTCTTGTTCCTGCAAAGAAATGGATATAAAACTGTAACTCTCACTTTATGTATATTTACAGCAATAATCCACAACAATTCATATGTATGAATATGTAATGTACATCTACACATTTCATTCAGAAACCACTGCAAAATTCAGGATATTCAGTAAGAGTAAGGAAATTTGCATCAGCACATACAGAATGAATTTCATATTATCCATACACAATAGTCTCAGATGGCACCAAATAATGCTATTATGCTAAACTTCTCTTAGATTTGACAGGTTCTATTTTACCTATCCCAACAGCATATTTACTGTATAGTGTATATATCTTGTACACATGGACATTAAAAAAACATACCACACTATATAGCACAAAGAATCTCTTGGTTTTTATGTTGATCATAAGGTGGCATTAAAAAATTAATCAAGGATTTGCTTGCATCTGGAAAACTATGGAATAGTGAAACTCCCAGGAATTTTCTATCATAAGTGTAAGTATGGAAAGAACATACCTGACATGACATCTGGTTTGAGAAGTTCTTTATCAAAGTTAGCCCGTTCATATCTAATTATCTTGCTAAAGGAGCAGACAGTTTCAATCATCAGCTACCATAACTTCCTGACAGCAAATTAAAGACTGAGTGAAATCCTATTTTGCCATTACACAGAAGGAACAACTTCTAGTGATGAATTGCCATAAATTAAGAAATATCTGTAGGCATTACTTGTTGCATGATGAATCGTGCAATTCAACATGCAGTATTCTTCACTGGATTCCAACCAATCCAGACCTTCCACAATTCAAAAATCCCCCTCTCTCCCTGCTGGGCAGTCTGACTGACTGTTGACAGCAGTCTTCATGCCATTACAGGTATTAGATTGAATACTTTCTCAGCAATCAGCAGAGGACAAAGAAAACAGAGAACATGAAAGAATTCAAAGGTTTTGCGTCTCTCTGTGAACCTGTCCATACAGGTATATAGACCAATATTTAAATCACTTTTGGTATGGTTTGAATCAAATTGCATCATCCACATGTGTTTCTACTTAGATTGATCCATCAATTGATCACTTTTGGTACGGTTTGGTTTGAATCAAATTGCATCATCCACATGTATTTCTACTTAGATTGATCCATCCTGGCCCTTTAAAAGCTGTCCCAAGTCTTTCTGGTACAGGGCTAGGGACTTCTGATTTTTTTGGCATGTGAGTGGCATTATCAGAGATGACAACCCTGTGACATAATAGTTGTGTGTGACATTAAAAGGGAGAACAGGATGATAAGGGGGCTGTTCTTTCCTTTTACAGATGGGTCTTTCAATTTTGTTTTTAAACTATTTTAATATTTTGATTATATTTACTGTCCTTCCCTTTTAGCTGTTAGCCACTTCGAGCAGCATTTTTTTTTTTGAGAAAGGCATGTTGTAAGATAAATAAATAAATGTAACTGAGCTGAGACAATGAGGGGATTCTACTTCAGTAAAACTCATTAATCCAATCTGGAATTAAAGTATTTGCTGATTTCCAACTGGGAAAACATAGAGGTATATAGTAGTAAATACCAGACATATAGATTCAACACTTCTCTAGTAGTTTGTATTTCATGCTGGCTGTATACTTTTCTGAATGCATAACAAATTTAAGGCTTACAAGGAGATTAACCAAGAGATGAATTACAGTCATCCCTAGAGGAATTCTGGTGGCAACACAAAATGGAATTAATTCTTCATTACTGTAGTTCAGTTTCTGTCTCCTCAAGACCTATGAATGCTAGAAAGTCTCAAATGTTCTAAAATATTTACTTGTAATATTTGCTGAAACCACTGGAACATTTATTTACATTTTATTGCTGTATGCCAAGGCAATCCAAATAGCAATAACACAAAGATTAGTATCCCTCTCTAAATTTAATTTCCCTCAAGGCTTGAATTAGGCCAGATTCTAGGCTTGACAACCATAAATCTTCATGTAAGCTTTGGGTTCAGTATGTGAGGCAACATCAAAGAGTTTTTACCTGAAATCTATTGTTGCTTCTTACCTATTTTCAAAAATTTATTCTCACAGGTGTCTATACTCATCACTTTATATTTGCATTTATTAAAATTAATTAAAACATGCAAATCAGTCTTGAAATCATAGTGTTTGATAAAGGCCACACATTTGTCCTTAAATGCCTATTTCCTAATGCACAGGCTACAGTCATATACACATTTACACAGGAGGGTGCTTTGCTGAACATAAAGCATCTTACTTTTGAGTAAACAGCCATAGGATTACACCAATACCCCCACACACACACACTGCACAGTAAAATGCAGTGTATTAAACTGCAACAACTGACAACTTCGGCATTACAAGATTCCTCTCAGTGATGCAACTAAAATAGGCATTTGAATTGGATGGGGTTATGAGTTTGTGGACAATTGATTTATACCAGTGGAAGGCAATTTTCGGCTCTCCAGATATTTTTGGACTGCAACTCCCATTAGGAGTAACTAGGACAGTCAATTCTAAAGGAACTGTAGTCCAATTAATGTCCTCAAGCAGGCCACTTATGTTTAGAGAATATGCAATATAACTAGAAAGAGAGTCTGATATGTTGTAATTGGCCAGTGATTCCTAAATTTTTCAATATCACAGCCCCATTTCTGCTTTCTGAGACATCCTCATGCCTTTTCACCTCTCCTCTACTATCCTCTACCTCCCTTTAACAAAAATATCATAATTTTAAATCAAAATTCAACTTGAAAACCTAGTAAAATTACTTTAGATCAATATCTTTATAAGAAATCTGAAAATAAAAAATACCTAAGCAAATATACATTTGTATCCATTAAAATCTCTGTTTCATCCTCACCTTGGAAATTCTTCACATCTCCAGAAAGGCTGCATCAGTAGTTGGAAATTAATGCACTATGTTATATAGTCTCATTGTTTAGTACTTTTATCTTTAATTTCTTAAAAATAGTAATTAGTAGATACTAAATTTACCAAAAATGTATTCATTAGTGTAGTCAAGATAGTCTTCCAACAGACTGGGAAGAGAAAATCATTACCATAGGAAACAATTGTGCAGGAATACTATTATAGTAATACTAATACTACCCAATAGTTATATACTTTGTTCAAAGTATTTAACAAGTGTTATCCTTCTGATTGACTTTGCAAAAGGAACAGGAAGCTCTCCCCAAATTAATGCTTATATTATATTACAATAGGATTCCTGTACATGTGGGTTCAATACTGGTTGTTTCACTTACCTGCGGTTTGCCACAGCCCTATATATGATATACAGTGGCACTCCCTTGTGGCCTCTGTCTCACCCCTTGTTTGTTATATATAGGGTTCCCTTGTATCTGAAGTTTCAGGTATCTATGGTAGATTGTGGAACTGATCCCCCACCATTATGGGTGGGGGGGCTACTGTAAATTGGCCAAAATACTGCTACGAAGTTATGCAAAATATATGACTTTTAGAAGTAATCTGCCACAAATTAAGAAATCTGCAGAAGTGATTATATGTTGCATGCCAAATTACACAATTTGGTGCGCAACAGAAAATGTTCAAGTGCCCAACAGGATTCTGACTATTCTATTCTATTCATTAGTTTAAAGCATTACTTCATCACCTTTCTATCCACCAATCTTTCCAAGATGATTTGCAATAAAATTAAAATAATCAAAAACAGGTTAAAGCATTCAAAACAAATTGAAAATAAATTTAAAACATTGTTCAAAAGATAATTATTTTAAAAAAAATTCCGGAAACCAAAGACTACTGTATTTGAAACAGATTTTTTTCCTTGTAGAATACTGAACAGAGATGGAGCCAGGCTAGATTGCTTTGGATATGAGTTCTATAGTCAGGATACTGTTACTGAAAAAGCCCTGTCTTGTGCATATGCCAACCTAGCATCTCAGGATGATGGGCCTATCTTTAGAACCTAGTACTCCAGGCATGTACTTATAGAAAGAGATGGTCTTTCAGATATTTTGGTCCCAAGTTGTTTAAAGCTTTATAGAGCAAAGCCAGCGCCTTGAATTGAACACATAAGCAAACTGGAAGCCTGTGTAGTTGATGTCATGAATGTGCAATGTAAAATGTACTTCAGACAACAATCTGGCTGACCCATTTTATGATAGCTGTAGCTTCTAAACAGTTTTCAAGGGCAGCTCCACATAGAGTAAACTAGCCTAACTGAGAAATAATTGAAGCACGAGTCACTGTAGCCAAATCTATCTTTCCTAGGGAGGGATACAGCTGGTGCACTATGAAAACTTGGCCAAGAATCTCAGCCATCTAGTTTTCCAGGAACAATGCTGGGTCCAAGATTATATTCCCATTCAGAAAAATGTAATCCCAATCACAGACCGGCCATTTTTATCAACAGAAGTTCTATCTTGCTCTGGACAGGGCTTAACAGCCTCCTTCAGAGCAGTAGAAGAACACAGAGGGAGATAGGTATCATCACCATCACCAACTCTGAAAGTCCAAGAGATCTCTCACAGCAGCTCCATTTAAATGTTACAAAGCAACTAAAGGAGACAACATGGAGCCCTGAAGAACCCCATCAACTAACAGGAGGCTATACAGCAAGCACTCAGCACCACCCATCAGGATCATTCAGCCAAACAGGACTGGAACCACTGCAAAACAACTGCCTCCAAGTCCCATTCAGCCAAGCAACAATTCAGAAGAATGCCATGTTTGATTTTATCAAATGCCACTGAGGTTCAGAACCAAAAGGTTCTGCAACCAAAATGGATATAGTCTCCCATCTAGTTCTAAATACATAGAGAGACTGGTATGGTGCACATTGATTTGATGGTATGGTTTCTGGTTTCCTGCATCAAGATATGTCTTAGCTAGCATAAGTTCCCATGAGAGGAGCAGAGATCAAAGGAACATCCATATCAAAAGAGGCAAGTCAGGCAAGCTGCAATACTATAATATGTGTCTGATATGTAAAAAAGCCATATGGCCAAGAAGCAAGTTTGGATAAACATTTGGAGGATAATTAATGCACCTGAATAGGAGAAGAGTATTGAGAGCTAAAAAGAAGCAAATGGTTTAAGGATTAGAACAAAAGGAAACATACCAGATCTTGTGTCTGCAGAATTTTACACCCCTGAACTTGAAGCGCATGGAAAAGAGTTTCAAGGAGTTAAGACTAGAGATGAGCCTTAGAGAGAGGGGTGGGGGAGGGGAAAATGAATCATAGGTAGAGGTGAGTCAAGGAGCTCTTTAGCAGCAACTAAAGGAGGATTCTAGCTGGAAGGATTTTAGCATGCTCTATAGTTAGATAGAAGTCAAAGGATTTAAAATGGAACATAGAGTTAGGATAGCCACCTTGTTAAGAAGAGAATGCCACAGGAGAGAAGCAAAGAAACTCAGCTTCATGGCAGAATTTTTTCAAGGTGGCAGCATTTCTTTTAAAAACATTGCAACCTTTCCCTGGAGTCCATTGGGGTTAATTTCAGATTTTAGCAGCTCTTGAGGACTTCCCCCATCTTAAGGAAAGAGGTAGGCTCCAAGGGATCCACTGGAAAAGGGCACAGAGAGTGGTCCCATCACATAGCTGGCAGTGGAATGGGACAAAACTTGCACTCTTCTGTTTTTGGGAGATCTTTTATCTGGAACAGATTCCTGGTTGTGCTTTGCTTTGGGGAAAAACTATTCTCAGGAGTAGACCCTGGGCAGTTCCCTCTTTTCAGGAACCCTATTTGAGGGTGGGATCCTCGCTGGACTTTTCTTTCTCCTGTTTTCTTTGGAGGAGTTCTCAGGTAAAGTCTTTGATGGGGCAAAGAAAGGCATACGGTTTGTTATTTTGATTAGGAAAGCAAGGAATGGGTGGCCAGGAGGAAATCCAGCCCATTTCAACACCAAGAAAACTACCAGCACTGAGGGTGGAATACTTCAAGTTGGTGGGTGACCATCTCAGGGAAAAGATGAAAGAAAACAGAGAGGCTTCTTTTCTGGGGAAGAAATTGAAGTCACTCTGCTAGACTGTAGGATAACAGGAGAGGACAGAGACACAATATTGTCGTCATCGCCAGGTGGTTTCTGTCATGGATTGATTTATGTGGATTAAATCTTGTACTGAAGATGGGAGATGTAGTAGTGAACAATGTAAAAAGGATTCCATATTGGTTCTCTGTGTAAATGATTCTGTATGCTGACAGTGTATATTCCAGAAGGTGTGGGAATATTTTCTTGTAGGCCTGAAGAGAACATTCCTAGATAAGAAGACTGGGCATTTGTTATGGCAGAGCTGCGGAGGTGCTGAGGACAACACCTGTTCCCATGAGAAGAGAAGAAAGAAGATAAGGAGGAACTGTTTACCTGACCTCGTGCCTTGATTGGATGACAGTGTGAGAGATGAAGAAGAAGGGGGGTTCCAGCAAAACTTGAAAAAGGAACTCTTACTATGGATAATATTCTTTTGTTCATTCCATCTTTCCTTGACCTTTTTGGACTACTTTTCCATTATAGTTTTTCTAGGTCTGTTTGCCTGCTGCGCAGTGCAGGTAAAGGACTGATAGAGATGTAGGGAGACTAGAGAGAAGGGGGGGGGAGCTTTATGCCTCTTGCCTACCCTAATAGAGCTTTTAAGGATTTTTAGTGTTTTTGTATTTAAAGAGAATTGTTGCTTCATTTCTATTTTGTAACAAGCGTTGAAAATGGTAATATGCTTGCTTATGTATTAAACTGACTTTATTTTGTAAATCTTTATATCTTTTTAAATAAAATAATAATTATAAAAATCAATTGGCCTCTTGAACAGTATAGCTGTCTTAGTATTACCCTGAGGGGCAAATTTGGCCACATTTACGCTACTGAGTCCTACCCTATTGAGCACAGTGATTCTAAAGACTACATAGCTCATATGTTTTTCTTTTTCTTTTTTTCTTTTCTTTTTTCATTTCTTTTCTTTTTTCTGGAATTTTCTAAAGTTGCTGAAGTATCTTTTTAGGGCAGACTTGTAAGCAGAAGTTTTGGGGCGGCCCTTGGCTGAGGTTATCAGGACTCGACCTAGCTAAATGAGGGAGCACAGGTTTCTAATTACTCTCTGTCCGAACGGTCAAGCATCTCTTAAGAGAGCTGATCACTTACAGTTTGTACCACAGGAGTCCAGGGCATGAGGAATTGGGAATCGTTTCACCATGAGAACAGCACCAGGAAAAGGCATGGAAAGATGTGTCGAGAGGCTTCCAGATGGCTGATAGAAAGCTTTTAAGGTATGAGAAATATCTAAGAAATGGTTTTACTACTGCCATCTCCAGTGAATTTCCAAGAGGAAAGCAAGAGGCAGGAGGTAGTGCAGTTTCAGATGGAAAAATGAAAGCAATACCCAGAGATGTTCTGAAATCTGTAGATTGCTTTCAGCCCACATTGTTCCATGTGAAATGGGATGACATGTCAGGATGCTAACCTGGGATACTGCAACACTCAGAGAAAGCTCCCTTCTACTTCATTTGACTTTGACCATGCCTTTCCCTACTCAACTTTACCAAAGTGCAGAATTTTCAAGGTCAAAAGCAGTACACAAGAGATTCTAGTGATGTGATCCCCAGCCTGCACAAACCAAAACAAACGCATATGGCTGCTCTCATTGTACCTTTCTCCCCTGCTGTCCTGTAAGATCTCTAACTTTTCTCTGTCCTAAGAAAAATCTAAGTCACTTTGCAGTTACCACAATTGAACCATTACACTTAAAACATGCAAAGCAGAAATGTGCTACAAGAAGCATTAAAAAGTTCACTTGGCAAAGTGTTCACCAACTGCTGTTCACCCCCCTGGATAGCATCTATTTAGAAGAAATAATAACTTTCCATTCCAGGTACAACTGTTCAGTGACAATGTTAACAAACAGAACATGATTAGGGAACACTGTGATAAAGCTAATATTATCATTTAAAAACTCTCATTAGGGGAGAGGGAAAGACATTTAGCTTCCAAAAAACTTAGAAGGGATCTAAACAAAGAGGAAGAAAAATCATTATTCCCAGCTGGGTAATGGCAGTATGAGATAAGACAGGAACCAGTCAAAATGGCAGAATAAGTTTACATTATTCATTAAATACAGTGAGATAACTACAACTGTTAATCACAGTAAGAGTAGGCCCATTAATTCAGTGACATCTGTGAAAGTGTTGACTTACCCAAACCTCATTGAGTGGCAGAATAAGTTTAGATTATTCATTAAATACAGTGAAATAACTACAATGTTAATCACAGTAAGAGTAGACCCATTAATTCAGTGACATCTAGGAAAGTGTTGACTTACCCAAACCTCATTGATTCTAATTATTTAGGCCAATATTTTAAATATAAAAACAATTCAGAAGTATATTAAAACTATACTCCTATCTACTCACACATGAAGTCTCACCAAACCTAGTATTACCTACATTTCAGTAGACGCATACAGCGTTACAGCCTCGAAAAATTAATTTAGAACTACCAAAATCCTCCAGCCAGCATGGCATTATGGGAATAGTATTCACCTCACCCAAAAACAAATGATCCTGTGAGCTGCCTGTTCGTTCAAGGAAAGGAAATGCGACATAGCTTGCTTTGGCTAATTGTCCAGACCAGTGACTCCCTGGGTCCCTGTCAATTCTACGATTCTCTTATGCTAGAGGTTCTCAATGCTGGGTCCTCAGATGTTCTTAGACTACAATTTCCAGAAGTCCTGGCCAGCACAGCTAGTGGTGAAAGCTTCTGGAAGTTTTAGTCCAAGAACATCTGGGGACCCAGCATTGGGAACCAGAATCTTACATTATTTTGTGGACTGAGACAGTGATGAACTGAATATAGAAATTAGGAGTGGTCCTTGACATTCAGTCCACATCGGAGCTTACCACAATTTCTAGAAGAATGGGTAAAGCACATTATTTTAAGGTAGTAGTAACAAGTGGTAGAATTCTCCCTCAATCTTATCAGATGCTGGCATGTCATACTTATGAGCAAGGGATGGCTGTTTTACAAACATCAGATGTAATCTATGATACTGAGAAATTATTTTCCCCTCAGGAATAGTGTAGTGATTTCTCACAGTTAAATGTTCCAACTTACACTGGCTAATCATATCCAATGCAGAAAGTGTGGCTTTCTAATCACTTGGATTCATGATGTATTAATATTCTACTGAATTATGAACAGTTTCTGGAATGCAGAGTGGTTTTACTTTGATCACTCAGCTTTGTGTAAATCTTAAACCGGAATCAATAGAGAGAAAGCTGTGAATGAAGGCAGAGAAGCGTTCTTGGAGACAGAAGACAAATGTTGCTGGGAGACTAACAGCTAATGGTTCATTTCTGATGCATGCATTGTGAAAGGTGAAGCCAAAGAATTGTCTGAGTACTCACTCATTAGGCGTGTCCTTTTGACCACAGAACTGCCCGTAGCTGTCAGTAGGATAAGCCACTTTTCTGGGGTCACCGTGTACCCAAGCTGGAAGAAAGACATACACACACAAAATCAGTGCTATTTCATATTACCTTCTCTCCATTTAACAGGCTTGCTTGGAATTAAAATTTGCTACACATTAAAATGCACTGTCTGTTGTGTACCATTTTAACCTCTCTTGATAGCTACTGAAGACTATTGATTTTTCTTAAACAGTGCTTTTTTAAATGAAAAAGGTATGGATGAATAGATAGAAAGTAAAACATCTCTGTCTTTTTGTCATTTCCCCCTTCTAGTAGGGTACACCTGGCTTGCAGCCAGAATATGAGGTAATGCACTTAGAAAATAACCGTTATTAAAATGAGGGCAAGGAAACATCACAAAAGCTTTGCTGGCATAAAGCCATACAATGGTATTGAACCAAGCCAAACAAATCAAGCTGCCTTCAGCCTTGCTTCTGGACTTCCTTCTGCATGCCGAATTGTATGAGCCAACTAAAACGTACTCACACACTCCATGTTACAGAAATCACTTTGAACTTGCTCCTACATAATTGCCACATCCTTGCATTTCTCCTGGCTTTGTGATGGTTTGTTCAGAAACACTTAAAACTAGATCTTCTCCAAGGTCATTTGCACAAAAACACTCAGCATTAGGAAAAAAGTACATAAAGACACAAAACCCTCTATGAACATGCCAGTTATGACTGGAACATCAGCTCACGTAGAATGGAGGCAGAAGAGCATAATGGAATATAATATATTAAACAATTAAACATTGTTTGCACAAACATATTAAAGATGGACTTACTCTCATGTGTGTGTGTGTGTGTGTTGATGTAACTCTGTAACATGAACCTATATGAATTTAAATTGACAAATATTACATCCGTTCTGGGGAAAAACCAACCTTAATACATTTCCTCTTTCTAAAGATTGGTATATGATAACAATATACAGAGTCTTATGTGAAGTAAAACAATCCATACCTGGAAAGTTTGGGAAAATGATGATATGACCATTAGCTAAGGTTTTACCTATAAGTAAACTCTCCAATATTTGGATATCTACTGAGATACAGAATAATGATTATCAATCTTCCAATCTTTCTACCTTTTTAAAACTGTGAATATTCATTGTATTACCATCTTAGCTATGGCAATATTACAATTATATGCACACATAAACCAATGTGGCAGGTTTCCCAAAATCATTACCACAGGACCATATTTTAGGTGGGCAGTTTACTCCCTTCCAGATATTGAGGTTTACTTTGTTTTACATTGGGTTATGAAACTTTACTACGAGGAATAACAATTTATTTTTTACGTGCTATTGAAGGCCAGGTGAGAACTTTAGTAAACAGCAAACCATTTCCATCAAATAATACTATTTCCCCCACACACACACACAAGTTATGCAAGGTAAAGTACTATGTATTTCCCCCCACACACACACACACACACACAAGTTATGCAAGGTATAAATAGTTCCTCTTCAATTTTTCTGAAGCTTTCTGGTTGTAAAACCACACTTCTTCAAATATTGATTGATTTTAAATCTGATAGTAATTATTCTGAAATTACAGACGTTGAACATTAAACCCTTCAGATCAAAGATTTAACAAGAACTAATAAATCCAGTGATCTACAGAATTAGAATACTAAAATTACTTACACACCACCACCATGCATTTGTACATTTAAAGAAAAATGGTGTGGCAGGACATTTTTCATTCAGCTCACTACAATAAATCCCTGCAATTGGGAAAGAGATGTTTATAAGAGAACAGCACGTGGGCAACGTGTTACAGAACTACTGTATGACACCAAGAGATGAAATTTTATTTAATTCATCAATTCTGATGTCCAGATAATAGATGACTATTTTTCAATTATCATAACATCACAGAAGGTTTTTCTTCACAGAAGGTATTCCTTCCACTATTACAGACACCAGCAGGAACCACGCAATCAGTGGGTAATGTTGGACTTTATTTGTAAAACCTGTTCACATCTATGTTCAGGCTCTGGCTTAAGAGCCTATGTACACAATATATATATATTGCAAATAGTTTCATGAATTATTGTTGTAGGTTTTTTGGGCTGTTTGGCTGTGTTCTGGAGGTTATTCTTTCTCTTTGTTTAGATGCCTTCTAAGTTTTTTGTTAACACCCATCAATCACAGTGACATATCATCTGTTTAGATGCCTTTTTTGTTAACACTCATCAATCACAGTGACATATCATCTCCCCCTTATCACAACAATACACCCTTCACACAATACACCCATAACAAAAAACACCCTGATCACCATAATCACCCAATCTCCTGAAAAGAACAAAAAGCTGATCCCACAGCTACAAATACTCAACTACCCCACACACTACACCAGAACACAGAAAGAATTCTAGCTCTTGTCCTCGGAAGATGCTGGCCACAGAGACTGGTGAAACTTTAGGAGGAAAAACCTCCAGAACACAGCCAAACAGCCTGAAAAAAACCATTGGATCCCGGCCGTGAAAGTCTTTGAGAATACAGTTTCATTAATGTTGTTCCAAAGTTCTCAGGCACAAATTTATCTGCAGGGCCAGCTCTCCCATGTGGTAGAATAAGATATCTCCCTTGGGCAGCAGACTTCAGGGTGTCACAAAAAAGGCAGCCAATGGTTTGCTATTAATTTATTAACTGCACACTTCTACTGTGATAAAGTACTGAGGGGGTTGAAGACTTTGCTGCCTCAAATGTCAAACTAACTTGCCTGGGCATTTGGCTGTTTTCACTATGATATGGGGGGGGGGTTAACCACTTGCTGCTATGCTTTCGAAAGAAAGATGCCTTGCAAGAGATCTTGGGCTGTACCACCTATCTGGGCAAATACCCAAAAATATTCTGCTTATATACTGCCCCCGTAGCGCATAAAGCACACTCTGGGTGGTTTACAAGTTCACACCACCTATCTGGGCAAATACCCCAAAATATTCTGCTTATATACTGCCCCATAGAGCATAAAGCACACTCTAGGTGGTTTACAAGTTCATTATGCAGGCTACACATTGTCTTTCCCCCCTCCCTATGAGCTGGGTACTCGCTTTATAGGATGGAAGTTGAGTCAACCTTGAGCTGGCTACTTGGGATTGAACCCTGGGTCACAAGCACAGTTTTGGCTGCAGTACTGCAGTTTAACCACTGTACCATGAGTCACATACCCACAGAATAATAAACAAGAATTTCAGAAATCTCATCTTGTTACTCCTTGACTTTTTGCTACCTGTAAGGCAGACTTGTTAGGCTACCTTACAGTCTAACTTCATTACAGTATTCAGGAATTATCAAGTAAAAAAAAAAAGCTTCGCATTAGCTTTCCTGAGCCTCGGGATCTACAGGCCCCATTAAATATTGAATTCTAAGCCACCTTTAAATTAAGAATGTGCTATAATAAGACACAAAACAAACAAAAACAAAAAAGCATAAATGTTCCAAGCTGGAATATAATGCTAAGCCTTTTCTTACTGTTGGTTACTGAAGCTATTTTGCTGGAAGGAAGGGCAAACTAAGAGCGACTGGGCACTGAACTCTAGCGTGCTTGCTTGTGAATGATAAACAAGGCTTGTTGGAATTCTGGCTTACTGTTTTGTAGAAACATAGCTATAATGGATGAACTGGGATACAAACAACATCATGTCTTATCCTCTGAGATGTTTTTCCCCCAATCCCTGACATATAAATTGCCAGACAGAACACTCAGTTTGTCAGTTTTCTTAGCAAGAATATTATTTACTCTTCACTTTGATTCAAACTTGCATCCTGAAGCAGTAGTTCTTACATATTCATAGTACTAGCATCTGTATGTCAAAAATGCTAGAACAATTACACAAAACTCTTTGTGAGGCACAAGAAATCAGTGCTATGTCTCCCCATTCAAAGAGTCCTTCAGTGTATTTAAACTTCTGTTTAACTGAATATTGTGGTTTACCTTCCCAGTCACTGAGATCAAGGAGTTGTCACAGTGTCCTATTTGCAACAGAGTTTAGTTCATCTTCACAGCCGTTTCCCTCCACCACCATCCCTCCCCAATGTCAGAGTCTCTCCCCAATGTTACTTACAGGTTCAATGGATGTTCACAGGAAAAGAGAAAGAGAGAGAAAGGGAAACATGGCTAATACTGCATTAACTTATCTAACCGAGAAGACAGATCAGTTAGATCATGGGTCATTAACCCCCATGTCCGTGGCCCCGGGTGAGTCTGTGGGCTTGCCAGAACTAGGCTGCGGATATGGACCTTCTGCCCCCCCACGCATGCATGCATAGTGGGCGTGTCATACTCACGCAGGGGGGCATGTCACACCCATGGTGGGCATGTCATGCTCATGCGGGGGTGGTTATGCTCACACAGGGCGGTGTCACGCTTGCGCACAAGGAGCTCACCCCCCACCCAGCCGGTCCACGGCCCCAAAAAGGTTGGGGAATGCTGAATTAGATAACAGTGGAGCTCACTCCCCCCCAACCAGTCCACGGCCCCAAAAAGGTTGGGGAATGCTGAATTAGATAACAGACAGGTCAGTAGATTGCAGATGTGAAGAAGTACTGCAAAACAGAGAGCCCCGAAACCAAAAAGAAGCAAAGACTTGGAATGCAATTCGGAAATAGGAAAAGTATGATTTCATTAAGGCATTAAATAAGGGTATTTTTGCATATTTTTTAAATTGTAGCACCTAGAGGTCTGTTGGAATTGCCTCAACTAGACATCTGGGTGCTTTAAGCCTCCTAAAAAGCCCTTCAGGTGTTTGATACAGCTTATAGCTAGAGCCCTCCATTTCTGAGTTGTAAAACAAAAGAATGGATGGGTAGATCTATCTATCTATCTATCTATCTATCTATCTATCTATGTATCTATCTATCTATCTATCTATCTATCTACCTATCCATCCATCTATCCATCCATCCATCCTATCTATCCATCCATCCATCCATCCATCCATCCATCCATCCATCCATCCATCCATCCATCCATCCATCCATCCATCCGATTTCTGTTGTGCCCAT